ACCTTTCCGGGGCCTGCTCTGTGCTTCATCACAGCTGCTGACCACCTTGCTGTCAGGCAGGGTCATTACAGAAAGCACAGAGAGGAAAAGAAAAATGAGGCACAGGAGGTGAGACTGGGGTAGCTAGGCTCTCTTAGCAGCCAGTATTCCTTATTTCTTGCCAGAGTATTGGCACCTTTAAAAGCCTTGGCTGCCTTCCCCAAACCTCCCCACTCAATCACAAGCCACAGTGCCCAGAAAAAAATAAAGGGAAAAAGCAATGTGCTAAATCTCCGCTGGGCTGGGTAGCAACTCCCCGCAGCTCCCCTCTGCTGGCCTCAGAACTTGACTCCGGGGGTGGAGGTGTGCAGGTTAAAGATGTCCCCCTGCTTCCCCCCAGCCTGTTCCCAGCTTGGAGTAGATCCAGACGGAAGCCTCTGGGACGATCCACTCTGCCCTGCATTCCCAGCTGGATTTTCTGGCTGCTGATTCCCCTCTTCCCTCTCCCGCTGTCTACTCTGCTCCCTTTCCCTCCATCAGCCCTCACTGTTTCTCTGTCTCTGCCCCGCTTACCAGCAAGAGGCCTAAAAAGTTTTCCATTCACAATTTCCCATCTTTACCCATGCTCCCTTTAAGGTGTACAGGGAATGAAGGAAAGGGCAGGTTGTCATGAGTGTACATGGTTGCAGGGAGGACAGCATCTTGTCACAATCGTTTATTTTCATTCCTTCTTAAGCCTTATTCCTTTTAGCTCTCTCTCTCCAAGCCTGAGCCACGGAGTTTACTGAGCTAGGAAAGAACGAGGCAAAATCCATATAGGTCACAGCAGTGGCAGACTTATGGCACACGTGCTGCCCCAAGCTGTCTATCTATAGCATTAAAAGCTCTAAAAGGTTCGCCATCCTTGATACAGGACTAAGAGACAGCCGACCACATTCAGAATCAAGTTGCACTTGACTGAATAATCAGGTGCTTTGTTTTGTTGGAGGAAGTAGATCACTGGGGCATAACCTAGAGGGAGGTGTTTTTGTCCCTGGCCCCTTCCTCTTTGGATCATTCTTGCCCTTTCTGCTTCCCCAGCTGCCCTGAGGTAAGCAGCTTTCTTAGGCCTTTCCACTATGATGTTTCTTTCCACTATGATGTTTCCACCTCAGAGCCAGCAAACCATGGACTAAAACCTCTGAAGCCATGAGCCCAAATAAACCTTTTCTCCTGTAAGTTGTGACTAATTTGTGTGTGTGTGTGTGTGTGTGTGTGTGTGTGTGTGTGTGTGTGCAGAAGGAAAAGGAAAAGGAACAAGTGAATGGTATGCTATGGCATATGGCCCTGGGCATACCTTAGGGGTGGCTCCCAGCTAACATCCCACCTGTTCAAAGTGATAAGATAATAGTCATCAGGTACTGACTGAGGGAGAAGCTGGAGGAAGGACCCTGAAGCAGCACTTTGGGCTCCCTGTAGCCAGCTCAGGCTCAGGCTGAGCTGGCTGATCCAGACCTTTTTATATGACCAAGCAAGGATGCCAAGAGGGCTGTGGGGTGGCAGGATGGTCTTATTCATGGTGCCTTCCTATATGGATAAGAAAGCCTCACATTTCAGCTCCTATTCTCCTTACCCTACCTCTCCACCCCCATTGCACTTACCTTACCCTGACTTACAAGTTATTAGTCTATTATCTGTTTCATGTCCAACAGAATGGAAGGTCCATAGGCCAAAGGGCAAGGTCTCTGTTTTGTTTACTGCTGTACATCTGGCACCTAAAACATTTCTTGGTACATATTGAGTAATGCTAAGCAATTTTTATGGATTGAAATGATTGAATAAAGGCTCTAGGTTTCCACATCTCTGCTCCCCATCAGACCTGCCTACCTTCCTATACACCGCCCTTAAAGGAAGCCAGATGTGGAAGAAATACAAACAACTGAACTTTAAACCAGAGAGGGACTCTGGTATGACTGGTGTTTTAAATTGTGCCTTTGTGTTATGATATCTCATTTCTATTCTAGTATGCATTCTTCTGATTATCAGGAACGTCAAATATCTTTTGGTATGATCTTTAGCCACTGGACTTTTGTAAAGTGACCAAATGCCTTGCTACACTATATATATATATATATATATATATATATATATATATATATATATATATCAGGGGGCAGGAGGCAGGCAAAAAATGCATACATACTGTTACCTTTGTATGGGGAACTCTAGAGGATGTCCTATATCACAGAAGACCTACTACACTGCCAGCCCTTACAGAAGAAATTGAAATTGCATGTGCAGCAATCTGAATGACCAAGGTTACTCAAGCAGGAGTTCGCTGTACTAGTAAATGTCTGGAAGCTAAAGGCCACCACTTTGAGCACCTCTTATAATTGTACAGGCCAAATGAAACTTGTCTTAATCTCATGATATCTCAATAAATTTAGTATTAAAATATTTATACAAGTCTTTCTTTTCCTGACGTGTATATATACATATATATGTATATGTGTGTATATATATATATGTGTGTGTGTGTATATATATATATATGTGTATATATATTTGTTCTTCATCCCTGGTTTCTGCCACAAAGCTCCTAAAACCTTTGTAAGTTTTCAAGTGATAGAGGTATTAGGAGTATCTTTTACTGCAATATTTGATCTTGGATGCTAGTTCCTGACACAGAGCTCCGAAATTCCTTGGAATTTCCCCAGAGATAAAAGCATCTCTTGATGATCTCCTAGATTGCAGCTGGTTACTGGAAAGACTAGCCATGATTAGAAATTTGGAAATTCCAGCCCCAACCTGGGGTTCTCAGAGCCTCTCGGTTGGGGAACGCATTCATGTGCCAAGAAGGTAGCACATCTCAGCTCCTACGAAGATAAGGTCCTGTGGCTTGGACCATGCCCATGGCCTACTCTGTGTACCTTTTCATCTATATCCTTTAAAATATTTTTATAATAAACCAGTCAGCTTAAGTGTCCCCATGAGTTTTGTGAGCCCTTATAGCAAGTCATCAACCTGAGGAGGGAGAGGGTAGGGAGCTTCAATTTGTAGTCAGGTTAGAAGTGTGGGTAACACGGGCTCCGACTACTTGTGATTGGCATCTAAGTTGAGGACCATACTGATCCCTGGTAGACAGTGTCAGAATTGCTCGGTGTGGGAAACCCACACACTTGGTATCAGAAGTTTTCGGGTTCAAAGGTAAAGTGGTAGTTTCTGTGTACCATGCTATTTCTTTTTGTTACGGTAAAAGAGAAACAGCATTTAGAATATAGCTCTCTCATTAACTATTCATACAATCATTCTGCTTTCACAAGTCACAAAATTAGGATTTTCTTTAATATTTTATGAGTTTTTTTTTTCTTTTCTTATTTTTCTTTAAAATAGTAAGGCAAACAGAAGCAGATTCTTGCCTGGGCATCACAGGATGGCTATTTTTGTGAGATCACAACAAAACACGCTCATCCAGAGTTACAAATGTGTGGGACAGTGGAAAGAAATATGAAACAACTACATGGTACGCCACTGGGAAGTATTTAAAAAAAAATAGTCACAAACCACCAACAGACCATTAGGATATTATTTACAGGTTAATAATCTCTGCGTGAGCCTTTCATTCAGAGGCTCTGTGACAAGTGCATTGGGGCTGGCCTGCGTATTGAATGTTGAGATCAAAATATGACTTTCTCCGTATGACATAACTTCTCAAATAAATCATTCATATCGTTGGTGACTCACACAGTCCATTCCAGCATGCTCTGCTACATGTTAAATTTTTTTTTAATTTAATTTAAGCATTTTCATTATTGTGGACTTTTATTGCACAACGTTCAGTTCTGGGTCTTGGGCAATTGTTATAATAAGATTACTAGTCAGAGGCTGCGGATAAAGAACAGTAATTCAATAATTGAAAGGCGACCAAGAATGCAATCTGTCAAGGAACCAAAAAAAAAAAAAAAAAATTAGATCTCAAAGTGCACACAGATGAGCTGAAAGCCAAAACTGTTCATGCGAAATCTGCTTCTCCTCAGTGGTGAGCCAGTGTGTGCTAGAGCTCCTCTGTGACACGGTGCTTTTGTGAGGTCATCAGACCTGCAGCTTTGGGCAGGGGAGTCCTGACTGTCATCTTCCCACAATTCCTTAAGGTATCCTCTCAGAATTCCCTTTTTAATATCGTCAGTGTTTTATTTTACCTGGTCTCACACCTGCCTCTTCCTGCATGTTCAGGGCCTCACGTACCACCATTCCTGCCCTCCAAACACCTTTCCATGCTCAGGGAAAGTTAAGTTTTTTGAGGGGGAAGGACCAGGTCTTTGTTTTGTTTTGTTTTGTTTTGTTTTTCCGTATCTTTCTAAATATCTTTGGGAATTGTCCATCACACTAGCCTAAGCACAGTTCCCATGCTGCTTCTGGGAACTTCTGGTCATTTCACATCCCATTTCACATCCACCCATACCTCACCCCACCCGACTCCAGCCCCATCTGACAAAGTCTCCATGACAGCTGGAGAGGTGTGCCGTGATACCATGTCATTCCTGAGTTGAAGATGGCTTCTTGTCAGTCTAGACTGACCGGGCTGTTTCTGGCCTGCTTCACCAGCTTCTTCCTGAAATTTTCACCTTCTTACTTCCTCAGCTCTACCTTTCAGATTCTAGAGTGCACCATGCTCCTTTCTACCTCAAGGCCTTTGCACACACTGCTCCCGCTGAGGCTGGAAGTCTTCCTCACTACCTCGCCCCTTCTGCCTGGCTGCACATGCCAATCCTTTGGGTCTTAACTGCTTCCTCAGACCAGATTTCCCAAACTACAACCAGTGTCAGGTTGTGTTATTATCTGTTCTCAGAGCCAGTTTTATTTATCCTTCTTAGAACTTGCCATTGTTGTGGGATTTTGATTGTACAATTCATTTATCTCTTCAGGTTTCTGGAGTACCTACTATGTACCAAATATACACTGATAAACAAGGTAGGCAGGGCCCCTGTATCCAAGAGCCCTATAGTTTAAGCAGGATGGAGGGATCAGTGAGGCTGACAGTAAATAAGGTAGTAAATGAGTGCACATTGTGGTTAGTCCTGACAGAACGAGAGGGCATCAGGGGAGGTCCCTCTGAGAGGTGAGTGGGGTGCTGGGGGAGCACTGCTCCCTCTGCCCGCAGCAGGTAGCCTGGTGGGAAGGAGTTTGGCACATGTGTTCAGGGAGAATGCAGGGAGCCAGGAGGACAGTTGGAGAGTAGGCAGCTGGGATAGCACAGCGCCTACGGCCATGGTAAGGAGTGTGGAAGTGCTTCTAGGGGCATCGGGAAGGTTGTTCAATATTTTAAGCAGAATCGCTAGGACACACTGCTGTCCAATGGACAGTGGAGCCTATGGAGACGAAAGGAAAAGCAGGGGTTACAATGAGGCCACTTCCAGTGAGTTCCAGGGGACAACTGTAATGGCTTGAGTTGGCATGGTGGTGACAGAATGAGACTGGTTAGGGAGGAAAGTCCAGAGTTGATTTTGGAACAAGCCTGTTTGAGATGCTTGGGAGATGTCCCTGCATATGTGTCAAGTGGCCTGCAGAGGATGCGTAGCCTGGAAATGTCACAGGGACTCATCTGACCTCAGGGTTGATTTATAAACTCTGCATAAACATTTAGAAATCATCCTCAGAAACGCCTCATAGATCCGTGTGTGAGTCTTCAGAAGCTGCAATGCCAGGAAATCCCTTCTTTTCTTTCTGCCTTGGGGCCACTATGCCAACCTGACCTTCTCCCCAACAGTGTCTCCTCTGACTGAGTGAAGCCAAAGCCTGGTTTGAAGAAATGGAAATATGGGAAAAGTAAGATTTTTTTTCCTGTTTCCTATTGGGGAAAATTAAATCCCTGTTCACCAAATACAGCTTCACTGTCTGAACTTGGGAATCAGCAGCCCACAGATGGCTCCTTAAGTCCTGGCAGTGGATAGGAGATGCAGGTGCAGGTGCAGGTGCAGCAGGATGAGAGCCGGGTTTGCTTCCCAGAGTGGTCCTAACAAGGATCCCCACTGGATAACCTTTCTGGAGACTGGAAGTCAGAAACCGGAAACCTATAACAGAAAATCTCTTTGCCTCTTCCAGCTTCTGGTGTCTGCTGCCCATCCTTGGCCTATCTCAGTCTGAAGATGCTTCACTCCAATCCCTGCCTCCACTGTTACAAGAGGTCCTTGCCTGATGCATCTGTATCCTCATGCGTGACCCTCCTCCTGTGTGCCTCTGCATCCTTTTCTTGTAAGAACATGGGTCGTGTTGGATAAGGAATCACCTACTCCAGTATGACCTCACTTCACTCATTTTACCTGCAAGACAGGAGCTCAGGTACTGCAGGTAGGAGGTACTGTGGGTAGGACTTGAACACATCTTTGTGGAGGATGCTGCCCGTAAGCAGGTGCCCAAGATAAGTGGTGAGGACTAGCAGTGGTGGAGAGCAAGCAGGCTGGACAAAGGCGAGAATGTTAGCCGCTCCAGGCCTCCTTCCCATCAGTCTGTTCTTAAAGTAGAACATCCACTGCCCTCACAGTGTACCAGGCTCCTCGAAATCAGAGACTGTCTCTCTCTTGACCCCCGACCCCAGTGTAATGATTGTGGAACTAAGCCACCTTTACTATAACTGCCTAAAACAGCTTTCATTCCCCACAGGAAAGGTTCAAATTCCTGGACACACTTCACCAACCATCTCTTCATTTTCTGAATTGGCTTCTGCTTTTGCAGTCTCATCTTCATCTATCTGGGTTTCGTTCCTGTTCCTGAGGCTGGACAGTACAGCAGGGGTGAATCCTCTGGGAACCACAAAGACACTGCACACCTCTACTGCCCCCTCTGAGCTCCGGGCCCTACGTGTGCACCCCCATCCACTTCAGTCCTTTCCAAAAAGTATCTGTCCACAGCATGTTTCTTAGTGTAGCTGTTGTGAATTGCTTTACAACCTCAGGGAACAAAAATAGCCAGGTGATAGATAGACAAGTAGATAGATAGATAGGTAGGTAGATAGATAGATACATAGATACATAGATAGATACACAGATACAAAGATACATAGATACATAGATACATAGATAGATAGACAGACAATAGCAAGTATCCTACTTTATTTACAGCTCACTGTTTTGGCTGAAAAACAGGCCCGTATAGAATATATAAATTGTCACAAAAAATAAATGTATACTACTCAACTGCAAATGTCCAGATGATAAATTGGAGAAAGCAGGTGCCTTTCTTGGGAACGGTTACTCTCCTCTCCCACCTCATTTAGAAAGGTGGAGATCTGCATAGTCTCAAGCGGAGTCAGTGTGGTCCCCAAGGAGACGAAAGAGAACACTCTCAAGTGTTCTGTTGCTAGGGATTCTCATTCCCCCAAGGTGTCACTGAGATTCTTCAAGGAGAACCAGCCCACCTCTGAGTGCCACACGCCATAAACGCGTCCCTGGCCTCTTCCGGCTTGACTCTCTGCTTTCACTCTTGCTCCAGTGCATCTTTCTATAAGTGGGAGGAGCCAAGTCTCTAAGGAACGCTGTGGCAAGGAGCCGGTAGCAGAGAGGAGAAAGTAGCCACTGCTTTGTACATGCCACGCTCACTTGAAGCCATTTGAGCCTTGGCGTGAAGTCGTGAGTATAACTTACACTGTGTTCCTCTGCTGAGGGGAGGACAAACCAAACCCTGGTAGAAAAAAATAATGGTCACTGACGAGTGTAAAAGATTTGTTCCGATTCCTCTGCTTGCAAACATTATAGGATGTAGAGAAAAGAGCTCTGTATCTTAGAATAAAAAGACTCGGGTGCAAGTTCTTGCCCTCCTGCTTTAGCTGTGTGCCCTTGAGAAGGCACTTGAGTTCCCTGGCGTCAGATGTATAAACTCGGGGCAATACCATTTCTTTCCCTCTTACAGTGCTTATGTAAGAATAAAATGCTTTGACTGGAAAACTGTAGCACACTATGTGAAAGTAAGGTCTTCCCTGACAGACTTCTTTCCAAATTAATAGCCCATCTTGTTTGAGCAGTATTCTGTGTAAAAAAAACTTAGGCAGAAAGTACTGAGAATTTCCATTTACCCACTTCCCCATTCTTCCTATTCTTAACTTCTCACACTGCTTTGTTGTGATGGATGAGCCAATTAGGATACATGTTTATTAACTAAAGTCCATGGCTGACATGAGGGCTCATGCTCCTCATGGTTCATCCCATGGTTCTGACAACTGTGGAACTTGTTTCCATCATCACAGCATCACAGAGGACCTTCAATTCCCTGGAAACCCCTGTACTTCAGTTAAGGATCTCTTCTTCCCTGCCCTTGAACCCCAGGCCACCACTCCGTATCCTTGCCTTTTTCAGAATATATACTTGGAGTCATACCAAATATATAGTCTTTTGCATTGGCTTCTTTTTTTTTTTTTTTTTTTTTTTTGGTTTTTCTCCGGTACCGGGAACCGAACTCACGACCTTGCGCTTGCCAGGCAGGCGCTTTTGCCGCTGAGCTAAATCCCCAGCCCCTGCATTGGCTTCTTTCACTTAGCAATATGCACTTAAAGTTTCTTCATCATTTTCCATTAGTAGTTGGATAGATCATTTTTCATTGCTGAATAATATTCCAATTTATGAATGTATTTCCAATAGACTTTTTACTTGGGGAAAAAAAATGACCAAAGGCTACATTGCTTTAGAGTTAAAACAAATATCGAAAGCTACATTAAGAAGAAGAAAGCAAAGAGGGCAGCAGCTTTATAGAGACACTATAGGCCCTCGTGAAGATGCCGTGCATTGGTAGGGGGTGATGGGCAGGCTAGGGATACAAGAACCACAGTAACCCTTCTGTGCTCCCCTGGGAAAGCCCTGGTCCTCTAAGTGAAGGGGCTGAGCTGCCACCCTAAGCTACACTACCCAGACGTGCTACTAAGGTCAAGTTAAAACTCCTAGATGCCTGCCTGGCATGTAACTGCCAGCAACCGAAACCTGCATAAATGATGGGGGAAGTGCCCCAGAGCCCCCAGACCTGGGACTGGAGGGAAGGGGAGGACAGAGGCACAAAGAATGGGTCAGTGGCGAACTTCTGAGAGAGAAGTATCTTCTGGAGATACTACTGCCAAACCTGGATTCCTGTAACAAACAGCTAAGGACTGCAGAAGGGATGTTTGTATCGGCTTCAAGACCAGACAGCCCCAAGATCCAGGACAACAAAGGAAAGAGCAGCCTGGGGCTGGCCAGCAGGCCAACCAGAGGAGGAAGCGTGCTTGGGTGCTGGAGCCCCAATTCGCCCTCTACAGCTGGATCTTTAGCGCCACCTAGTGACCACTCTTAGGCTGGCTGCACTACAAAAGAGACCGACTAGGACTCAAATGCCCTGGCTTAAGACTGCCAGGATTAAAGCTTTCCTCTTAAGGTCCAAGATAAGAGACTGTATGGTAATAACGGACAAATTGAGAGCTTTAGGATTAGTGTCAGAGAATTTTAAGTAACAGAACTTACTCTCAGCAATTACATACACAATTAGTAGCAGGATTTTTCTATTTGTGCAAATCATTTTGAAATTTAGGGCACTGAGCAGTTTTGGACAATGAGGGCAAGATCAAAAGTTAAAACTGTGCAAAGGAAATTAAGAACTGAGAAGTTGGAAAGAGAATCTGGCCCAGCCTAAATCTCTATCAAATGCTTACAGTCAGCTGGGGATATAGCACAGTGGCACAAGTGCCCGCCTGGCAAGCACAAGGTCCTGAGTTCGATTCCTGGTAAAGAAAATTAAAAATAAGTGCCTGTTATGGTTGATACATTGTATCAACTTGGGGAGTCAAAAGGTTTGGCTAAGTAACTCAGCAGTTCTACATCTTGGGGTAAAAAAGACATGCCCTTACCCTTCTGGGATGTTCTTTATTGTGTCAATTTAAAAAGTTTAAAAGGTTAACTATGTGACTCAGAAGGAGCCAGGGTGCTTACTTTATATTCATCCTGAGCCCATACAGGAGGAAGGCATGCAGAGGGTGTGGGTGTAACAGACCACCCCTGCTAGGGTGGGTAGACTGCATTAAAAAAATTTTTTTTAAAAAAAGACTGGCTGCTGGTTCTTCAGAGGAGCTCCAGTCTTTGCCTTCAGCTTGGTCATCTGGCTTCTGGTGCAGACTGTTCAGCTTCAGCCTTCTGGTGTAGGCTCTCCAGCCTTTGTTGTAGATTCTTCAACACTGCATCACAAACCCATCAGCCTCCTGATACAGACTTACACAGACACTGTGTGAGCTCCAGGCCCGGGGCTGGGCTCTCCAATCTCCAGAGTGCAGACACCCTCTGTACGCTGCCTTATCCAACCCTGTGGCTGACCATTGTAAGCCAAACTTGTAATTTCTTATACATTTATATATCTTGTGTTATATCTGTTTCTCTAGTAAACCCCGACTGATGCAGTGCCCAAGGTCAAATGTCCCATGAATGAGTCAAGAGCCCCGACTGGGTGGACTGTCCCTTCCCTTTTGCTGGGTCACTTCAACATGCCTCCTTTCTTTTAAGGCTTGTTCAGCCTTGCTGCAGTTGCATGGGTAGTCTCTTAACGATGGGCTAGTCATCTGTATTCTAATCTAAAATCACGAATTAGCCTACCACCGGCTTGTGTCACTGTCTCTCATGAAGGAACTAGAATTTCCTAGAATTTTCATAATGCCAATGGCAGTTTATGACATGTGCATTAAATACCGTACACCAGCGATGGGGAACCTTTTAGACACCAAGTGCACAAACCGCAACTCAAAACCCACTATTTATCACAAAGTGCCAACACTGCAATTAAACCTGAACACTGAGGTTTTAGTTTAGAAAGAAAAGACAACTCATACATTTGGCTCATGTGCCAACAGAGAGGGCTCTGCGTGGCCACTATAGCATTCGTGCCATAGGCTTGCCGCCACTGTTCTCTACAATGTTAACTGATATCCCTTTACTAGGTATAAAATGTTAGGCTCCTCTCTGTATATATGTTTTAATCTGAATTAGATCATAATGAATTGATTGATCATTAATGATCATTTTATTCATTGCACAACTCACAGTAGATTTTTAAAATCTGGATTTTCTTGAAGAACATATGGTTTGGAATTAAAAGGAGAACTTGCATTTAATTAGCAGCTGAAATTGACTAGGTGATTTTGTATCTACTAATTCATTTATTCTCCCTGACTAGTCCTGTGAGGTTAATTAGAGCATTATGTTTAAATTGCCAAAGAAACAGAGACTCAGAAATTTTAAGTCACCACCCCGAGTGACATATGCTGTGTTATGGCTTGTGTCTAGATGTCCCCCCAAAGCCTCATGCAGTCATAGGTGGGGGTTTGGGGAGGTGGCTGGACCTAGGGTGTGTGATGCTGGGATTAAGGGTGTGTGGTACTGGATTAGTCCACTAATTGGTTTATCATTGTTCTGGATAATGGGAAGGCCCACTTTGGGTGTGTGTGGCACCGCTCAAAAGGTTTGTATACTGGGTGGCATAAAAGAGGAAGGCAGGCTGCTGCTGCTGCTGCTGCTGCTGCTGCTGCTGCTGCTGCTGCTGCTTCACTACTTTGCTGTCTTCTGCCTGCCACACCATGCACTGTGTCTCCTCTGCCTTGTGGCCCTGCCTTGGAACCAGCCAGCTATAGACTGAAACCTCTACAAACTGAGTTGAACTAAACCTTTCCTCCTTTAACTTTGGGTATTGGGTGTTTTGTTTCAGCAGCAAGAAAAGTAGAAAGACTAAATGAAACTCAGGCTTTCTTGTTTCAAAATCTAGTAGTATTCCTACCATACCACGTGAGTCCCTTGGACTCCAAGTTCAGAAGTCTGTTTTATTCCCAGCTTAAATACCACAGACAACATGGTACAGTATAATAGTATAAATTTGGAAATTTATTATGTTCATTTTTATGCCGAAGTTCAGTTGAGTTCTAACATAAAAGCACGTGCTTAGCCTAACGTCCCCAAACTCATGGATTTATTGTTGATAGCAGTGATGATCTTTAGAGTGTGGGCTTATATGTATGTAAGTCTATTACTTTTCCCCTGAAAATATTGTGAGGGATGCTGGCCTGGGAGATAGTGTGCTGGAGAGGTTGATTGGAGAGATCTGGACCAGAGAGATAATTGTACACTGAAAAAAGACTCAGTTCTCTGAAATAGTTCTTAGATGCACTTGCCAAAAACAGCTCAGAGCTTAATTTTATTTTAAAGTACTTGTTTGTAGTCATTCTTATTCAAGAAAAAATTAACATAGGAGAGCAGGAGTTTGAAGATATAATGACTGTCACC